AAGATCCATAAATTGTGATTGCTTAATGTTTGTCTCTTTAATTGATGGGTTCTCCATCCCTTTTAAACTCCTTGAAATTTTCGGACTGCAGAAACCAGGTCATTTGTGTCTAAAATTTTGCTGACTGCATCCCCTTGTAGTTGCTTAATATGCTTCTGTGTTTCTATACATCCTGTAAATCAGTAGTCAGATTTTTAATCAGATACAGGGTTTTTTGTTTTTACTACTGTATATCTGTTATTTACTTCCGTAAGGAGGTGTTTAATGTTTGCTGCTCTCTCCTTTGTGATGCTAACAGCCATTGCTGATCACTGCCTAGGATCCATTAATTCATCAGAGTTTACAAAATGCTGATATTCAAAATCTGTAATTCCATCTAAAATTATTTGCTGAAATATTTCTAAAAAAATTAACTTTTCCTTTATTACTGTTCAATTATCCTGATGTACAGTTTACCTAGGAAAGGCATGAGAGATGCTTTGATATTTTTCTTCATATACCGGTTTTCAAAGTAAGTTAACCTCCTAGCATCCTCCTAAACAGACCAATTAGTTAGTCTGTTTGCTTATAAGGTAGCAAGATGAACTCTTGGACTTCAACATATCTGTATGGTCTCAATAACTATAGTTATTACTCTTCTTGATGCTCAAATTGCCCCATTTTTGGCTAGAGGGAGCCCAATCAAGTTGATTCCAAAGACTTTTTGTTATGATGCAAGTAGTGTTTAAAAACTCCTTGCTTTTATTATTTATTTATTTATTTATTTATTTATTTATTTTTTAAAGAAAGATTTTAGATCGGAAGAGCGTCGTAGAGGGAGAAGTAGGCTTTCCAAAGAGTAGGGAGCCCGATGCGGGGCTTGATCCCAGGACTCTGGGATCATGACCTGAGCCGAAGGCAGACGCTTAACAACTGAGCCACCCAGGCGCCCCAAAAACTCCTTGCTTTTAGAAAAATGTTCTAGGCACATCTTATTTATTACCTCAAACCTGGAATCAGTCATTTATTTCAAGGTGCCCTGGTACTTTCATTGGAAAATGGTATTTGGAGAACACAATCTAGGCACCAGGGTTGGGGTACACTGTTTTCATATCGCTTAGAAATTTTATTTTATAAATACTAAAACAGCTCTTTAGTGAACTTGTACTGGAAAGAATCCCCCCAAAATTCATGTCCACCTGGAACCTCAGAATATTATGACATTTAGAAATATGATCTTGGGGCACCTGGGTGGCTCAGTTGGTTAAGCCTCTGCCTTCGACTCAGGTCACCATCTCAGGATCCTAGGACCAAGCCCCACATGGGGCTCCCTGCTCAGCGGGAAGTCTGCTTCTGTCTCTCCCTCTGATACTCCTCCCCGCTTGCACTCTCTGTCTCAGATAAATAAATAAAATCTTAAAAAAAAAAAAGAAACAGGATCTTGGCAGATGCAATAAGGTAAGACTGATATGAGACCATACTGGATTAAGGTGGACACTAACTAAATTCAATGAGAGTGTCCTTATCAGAGAGAGAAAATTATATAGAGGGAGACACAGAGGAAGAACATATAAAGACAGAGACAGAGATTCCAGTGATGCAGCTACAAGCCCAAGAATGCCAAGGATTGCCAAGAGACACCAGAAGTTAGGAAGAGGCAAGGAAGGATTCTTCCCTAGAACCTTCAGAAGGAGTATGGGTCTGCCAACACCTTGACTTCAGAATTTTAACCTCCAGAATGGTAAGAAAACAAATTTCTGTTTGTTTAAGCCAGCAAGTTTGTGATTAATTTGTTATAGCAGCCCTAGGAAACTAATAAAGATCTAGACATTGTTTTTTTTCCTGTTTTTAAATAAAATCATAAATAAAAATTAATATACAGGTATAATAAATAGCTGAGGTATTTGTAAAACTTCCTTAAATGTAGAATCAAACTTTTTCTAATTACACACCTTCCTTGACTTATAATGGGGTTATATCCCAATAAACACACTATAAGTTGAATGAAAATACCTTAAGGCGCATTTAATACACCGAACCTACTGAACATCACAGCTTAGCCTAGGCCTACCTTTAACACACTCAGAACATTTCCATTAGCCTATAGTTGGGCAAAATCATCTAACACAAAACCTATTTTATAATAAAGTGTTGACTATCTCATGTAATTTACTGAATACTGAAAGTGAAAAACGGAATGGTTGTACAGGTACAGAGTGGTTTTAAGTATATTAGTTTTTTTACCTTTGTGATTGCATGGCTGACTGGGAGTTGCCCAGTATCACAAGAGAGTACTGTGCTATATATCGCTAGCCTTGAAAAAAAATCAAAATTCAAAGTGCACTTTCTACTGAATGTGTATCACTTTCACACCACTAAAAGTCAGAAATCCTACGTCTAAGCATTGTAAATTGCAGACCATCTGTAAGATGGCCCGAAGATAAATAGATCTTATTTGCATATGACATGCAAACATCCATATTTCTTCAGAGCACCTCTACTTGGTTGTAGAGGAGGCATCTTACATAAGTTCAACAGAGAATTCCTGATTATACCCTTCTAATCATTCAACCAGCCTTCACCATTTCAGTAATCAGCAACTCCATTTTAACAATTCATCAGGCCAAGATCTCAGAATCAACCTTATACCCAACATCCAATCCATCAGCAAATCCTGTTAATTTCACCTTTACAATATATTACAATATATTGAGAATTGAACCACTTCTCACTACTTCCACTAATACCTTCTTGACCCAATCTACCATGATCTGTGGCCTAGAAAATAGCCACCTAACTGGTCTCTCAGTCCTCTTATGATCTATTCCCTTCTTAACAGGCAGAGTTATCCTTTAACCATATGTCAGATCATGTTACCCCAGAAAATGCTTCTCATCTCACACAGGCCCTAAAGGCCCTGCCCACCAATGTCTTAATTCTTCCTCCTCTACCTATCTAACTCAATCATTCCAGTCATATTGACCTCTGTGCTATTCCTTGACCATACCAAAGTTGTTCTTGTCTCAGGGCTTTTGCACTTGCTGTTGTCTCACCTAGAACACTCCTCCCTGAGATATCTTTATGGCTTCATCCCTTAATTCTTTTAGGTTGCTATTCAAATATAAACTTATCCAAGAGGATTTCCTTGACCCCTTAATGAGATATCACCTCCACGATGTCATCACCCTTTATCACTTTACCCTGTTCTATTCTTTAAAGCACTTATCACCACCTGTCATATTATACATTTATCTTTTTATTGTCCACAGAAGGTACTCCGTGAGCAAGCACTTTTTGTCTCTTTTATACACTACTATACTCCTAAGAGTCTAGAACTGTGCTTAGTATGGTTTGTTGAATGGTGTGAGCTGATCTCAATTCTCTTTGGCTCTACTAGTATGAACATCTCATACTGAGTACATGCTGTGTACGGATTTAGAACTTAAATATGAGTAATTTTCATTAAATACAATGCCTAAATACAAGCTAACTATGTCATCAGGTATGATGATTGAATCTACTTCAATGCAAGAAGTAAAACTGGCAATGTTGGATGTATTAAACTCCCCAAGTACAAAGCAGTATCATAGAAAAAACTAAAAGGAAAATCACCAAGTACCTTCAAATCAATCCAGATGTATAAAAAAATTTGCTCATAATTACCTAGGTATTATTAGTACTTCTGTAGTATCCACTCATAAAGCATAATGAGTATCTCTGACTACCCTAAACCAAACAAATAACTCAGGCATCTTAACTTAAGTAGACACAGCACTAGGTTACAGGGCTTGGACCATATTAACCTTCTGGCAGGAATAGTTTTCTCTCCCTAAAAATAAGGCCATGCAGAAGATATATGCTAAAGGAAATTACAGTAGTCTTAAAATTAAGATTAATACAGTGAGAGCATGCCAAATTATTTAAAGAAAGTCTATAACATCATTTAATCTTCCTCAGCAGTAAATTTTATATCAGATCCTAGAGTTACTGAGCAAAGGCTATCCATAAAAAAGGATGCTAATCTATAGCAATGACAGAAAAAGTTTTGATATCTAAAGTTTTTAGCAAAGAAAATGCTGTGTGACCACAGAAGTCCTTATACTGCAATTTTATATAAATAGTAAATTCAAAGGTAGTAAATCTGGGGATCAATGAACCTGAGAGATCATGTTAATTCCAATCAGAAAAAGTAAAAACATCCAAATCTCATAATCTATAAAAAATGTTGATTATCATTTACTCTTAAGAACAATGAATTCATTAATTCTTTGGATCTATAAATAGAAATTCATTGTAACCTAACCTGGAAAATAAATGTTCACCCCCTTGCTTACAAACAACTTATAGTAAGTTTTTCTTTGCAACAGAAAAAACAGCCTAAACCCTGAGGAAGAGTCACAAAGCACTGTGGTGCCATTTTTCTCAGGCCCTTGCAAAGCTTTCCTACATTAGAGGACCATGCACTAGACAAGAACAAAAGGAATATTTAACTGCTCATCTTCGTTTCCAAACAAAAGTTTCAAGTTAGAAGTGTGGCTAGAGGCCAAACCACAACTTCTTCTGGGAACTGTGAATTAACTTCCTACTGCCACAGACCTCTCTCAGTAACTATAAGGCTACTGCTTACAGTTTCTGGCCCACAAGGTATGTTACCTCATCTCCCCTAAGGACTTTTGCACTAATGAGTGGAATAAGACCATATGCAGGCTGCTAATCACCAAGTAATTAGAAAACACTCTTCTCTCCTTTTCCTTTTCTAACACACACACTAACACCCACGTGTGGGCACATGCACTCAAACTCAAATCTCTTCCCTCCCTCAAAGCTGAGCATAAAAGGGGGGGGGGGAACAGCATAAATGATTCTATGAAAGGTTTATAGAAGACTGAACACAATGTACAGAGCTCAGTAGAGTTCTGTGTATGACTATTTTCCAAACCAAAATGTAACCAAGAAAACTTTAACACAAGCACTAAAGAAACAAAAAAAGGTAGAAAACACAAGTAAAAAAGGTCACTTACTATGTGTCATCTTCAAGTCATTAAGTTTTGCATTTAACAGATCTTCTTTTAGGACTTTTTTCCTGTAAACATTAATAAAGAGGTGAAATAACTAAAAGAAAATTGTTGTTCTGCTCATTTATTTTTCAATTCACTGCCAAGCAAAATGAAATGGATTATGCACTGAATTTTAAATTCTAGCAAAGAAAGCATGACCAGTTGCCACTCCCCACTCAGTTGCTACTCTCCACTCCAATGACTTACAAGGGAGTTTCACTACCAAGAAAAAAAAAATACCACAATCCCTTTCCCTGGAACTGGTAGAAAGCATCAGAAAGGAAGGGGTGTCAGGATTTTTGTACTACTTTAGAAGGGAGAGGCAACAATGAATGGATATCTAAGTGCTGTAGAGACTAGGTTATATGCAGTGAATTTAAGATTGAATGAAAGGAATGCTAAAAACATCCAAAGACTCCAAAAAAGAATATACTATAAATATTCAACAGCTGACAGATTTTCCACCTTGGGAGAAATCATGAAGGGGCTGACTTGGTAGGCAAAAGCAAATTATTATTTTGCATCTGCTACTTCTCTGTACCATCGTGCTACCACACATCCCTGAGAAAAAGCAGTTAAGCATATGGACTATCTCAGCTGTTAGACCCACTGTATGGCCCTGTTATAGGACATACAGTGATGACCACTGCACTCTCAGTAAGGGCCAAAGAATTGTGGTAATTCAGAGGAAGCATAAAAATGTATATCCGTGACACAGTCATAGCTAGTGATAGGAGATGGATCAAGAATGAAGCTAGCAGAAGTTCTTCAGTGTGCTGGGAAAGCGTGCTACTATTTTCTATGTAAACATAAATGCAAGAATCAAAACTGACTCATAGTTAAAAGAGGATGTTAATAAAATTTGCTCTAATGCAAACTGGGTTTATGGCTGGGCTCTTTGAATGGGTGTTCCATGAATCCCTTAAAATCACATACAAAGTTTTGTCTGTAAGTATATTTTATGACCTGTTTTCCGGTAGAAGGTGTCTATAGCCTTCTTCAGATCCTCAAAGAAGTCCATAACTTCCAAAAAGATCTAAAGAGCTGCAGTGTTATAAACTGTGGCATGATTTAATAAACCTTAAGAACTACTGCCAACGGTTTAGTACCTAAATAAATCGACTCTGTTAAGAAATTAGTATTCTTGGGGTGCCTGGGTGGTATAGTCTGTTAAGTGTCCGACTCTTGGTTTCAGCTAGGGTTGTAATCTCAGGGTCGTGAGATCAAACCCCAAGCGAGGCTGCATGCTCAGCACAGAGTCTGCTTAGACTCTCTCTCTCTCCCTCTGCCGCTCCCCCTACTAAATGAATGAATCTTTAAAAGAAAAAAAAAAAAAAGGAGTTAGTATTCTGATTAAATGTACTAATGAATCATAGGTTTAATTACGAATTTGACAGTATGTATTGTCTTAAGAATACAATTTTTGGACAGCTCTCAATATATGTCAGATCAAAATGGGCTTAACTTTTAAATGTATTAGAACAATTTAAGTATTAGTTATAAATTAATTTCCAGTACATTAACTCAATTTAGTTCAAAAAATATGTTAAATACCTATTAAACTCAAGTACTAAGCACTGTATTTCTAGGCAATTACATTTTAACAACAGTAATTAAAGAAACAAATCCAAACATGTTAAAACACAAATGGTTGTTATGGTAGGTACCAAGTGCCTGCTACAATACAAAAAAAGAAAATTATAAAGATAATAATAAGCAGTTTCAATTAGAACTGTCTCATGAAGAATGTTGTGCTATATCATTATTTACTTTCTACTTTTTGTACATAAATACTAGAGCAGTGCTACTGAAAATGTGGTCAGTGTACCAGTGCTTATTCATTATTGGTTTGCCATATACAGAAATGAGTAAGCTTTAATTTACACTACTATAACATTTTCATTTTACAAAAATATCTAAACAGATTACAGAAAAAAACAAAAAAAACTCCTCAAAGAGAGTTCAAATTCTATTCTCAGATTTCAGCTGATCCTTTCTTAAATTATCAAGTATGTGCCTTAAAAGAAGTTAATTAAATACATTTAAATCCCACATCGTTAAATAAAAAAAGAGAGTACTCTTTTTTATTAGCTATCTTCTGGTTTTAAACATTCGGACTCTACTTCTAAAATTCATCACTAACCTCATACAGCTTTTAGAATTTTCACAACAGGAGAGCTGCTTCTTTAAAGAGCTTTCAGTTTTCTTGTCTTTTGTTTCTCTCAACTGTCTTTTTACTTGAACCTAGAAGAAAAGCAAAATCCCTTATTTAGAGTGATAATCCAGCATCACAAATGATAACCTATCGATTCCCCTTTGAAAGGATAAAAAATTAAAGATACAAAATTTTCTGAATGAAAGGGTAGCCCAAACACATATGCTTATTCATTCAAGCATGCTAAACCGTAAGACTGGTAAGTGTGCTAAGCTCCAGGGAAACAAAATAGTGAGAGGCATGTAAACAGAAAGTGCTCATGAGCACAGATCTGTGTGTGTGTGTGTGTGTGTCTGTATACACACACATACATATGTATATAGGACTGAGAAATTAACTCTATTTGATGATAACAGAGAAGACTTTAATGAGTTGGTCTTAAAGAGTAGGAATTTGGGGGCACCTGGGTGGTTCAGTCCCAGGGTCCTGGGATCAAGCCCCGCATCGGGCTCCCTGCTCAACGGGAAGCCTGCGTCTCCCTCTCCCTCTGCTTGTGTTCCCTCTCTCACTGTGTCTCTGTCAAATAAATAAATAAAATCTTTAAAAAAAAAAAAAAAGTAGGAATTTGTCTAAGAAAAAAAATATTCTGAATGGAAGAAAGAACACAGTTAAAAGGACAATTAGAAGCCAATGCAGATAGGGAAGAAAATATTAGCAGGATATGAAGTTGATGTAATATATTAGGACCAGATTGTAAAGGGCTTCAAATAAGAAAATAATTCCATGGGAACCAGCGAATAAATGGAGGTATTAAAGCAAGTGAATGAAATGACCAAATTTGTTTTTCAGGATAAACTTTGCCAGTGATTTGGAGAATGAACCAGTTAAGGAGAGACTATAAAGGCTGGGAAACCAGAAGAAAACTCTTATAGTTGTGTAGATCTACACTGCAGGAGACAATCACTAGCCATATGTGGCTACTGAGCACTGAAATGTGGCTTGTCTCAATTGAGATGTACTCTAAGTATAAAATATACACTGGATTTCAAAGATATACAACAAGGTAAAACGTTTCAATATTTCTTTAAAAATACTATATGTTGACATAATACGTTAATTATGTTGAATTAAATATATTATAAAAATTTATTTTAACGGTTTCTTTTTACTCTTTCAATGTGACTACTAAAAGTAAAAAATTTAAATTATAGTGGCTTGTAGTATATTTCTATTGGCAGAACTAGTCTAGATGACAGCATGAAGGCCTACAAAGAAGTGACAAAAGAGGAATGAAGAGAAAACAAATTTATGACATTGCTCAGAAGGACTAGGCAAAGATGAGGGAGAAAGAAAAAATTGAAAACTCCCACATGAATTCTGGACATGTTAATGTTTACATTCCTTGGTATGCTACATGGATGGAGATGTCCAACAAGCAGATGAAAACATAAATCTGGTTCTGAGAAAGAGATCTGGGCTAGTGATAGTTTTAGAAGCCATACTAATATAGGTAAGAGCTGAAAGCCACTGGAGTTCTTGAGAAGATTTAGAGAGAAAGTATCCCCAGAAAACTGAAAGGAATTTAAAATTTAAGAAATGATTTTTAAAAAGGTAAGGAAGGCAGAGAGATGGTAAAGACTGTGAAAGGTCAGAAAAGTAAAACAAATGAACATTGATACAAACATTTATAAAAGGACATCCTATAAGCCAAAGAAAATAAAGGGTAGTTAAGAGCACCACATGCAGAAAACAAAAAATTATTCTAAACCTTAGTGAGGACACGTTTACAGAGGTAAATGTTCAATGTGAGTTGAAAAGCAATTATGAAAAGGGAGTAACCAAGTATAGATGTCTCATTCAAGGTTAGCTGGAAAGGGATAAAGATAATAATGGGAAGATTCAGAAGTAAAGGTCAAAGGAAAATATTAAGAGCATGTAGTTAATATCACATAGTAAGAAATAATTGTTAAGTCTGACTAAATTAGGTTAACACTGCACCAAACTTTTTAAAAAAGATTTATTTATTTGAGGGAGGAGGGAGGGGCAGCGGGACAGAGAGAGAAGGCCCTGAACAGACTCTGCGCTCAGCATGGTACCCGAGCTAGGGCCCAATCTCACAACCTCGAGATCACAACCCAAGAGGAAACCAAGAGTGGGATGCTCAACTAACTGCACCACCCAGGCGCCCCTGGCACCAGACTTTTAAGTAAAATACAAAACATATTAAAGAAAACGTAAATTATTAGTCCAAGCAACAAAACAAAGTTTTAGAGGAAAATATCTTTGGAAGCTAGTTCATGCCAATACATCTTCAACATAATATATATAGTCTGGAAAAACAGAGAATCTGTCTTTCAGAGAAGCCATGCTTTAATTTTTATTATAATATTACACATTTATATTAAATCTTTTCTCCAAGACATACTAATTTATATAGATGTATAAGTACACAATGACAACAGGCAAAATCATTTTTTACATATGTCATGTTATTTGAATTTTAGTCTCATTTGTTCCTTGTCAATGAGACTCATTTGGTTAAAAATATATCAAAACAAATTAGATACCTACACTGAGGACATCTTATGCTTAAATAGTCGTATGTCGCTTCCATACCCCTTCCTACTCACAAAGACAGTAACCAAGCTGTTAATGGACTTATCATGCTACTTGGGAACAGTCCCCCGCCTCTGCCCCCCATCAATGGCATCAGGTATCTATATAGTAAGAATTTTTTTTTTTTAAGATTGTATTTATTTATTTGACAGAGAGAGACAACGAGAGAGGGAACACAAGCAGGGGGAGTGGCAGAGGGAGAAGCAGGCTTCCCACGGAACAGGGAGCCCGATGTAGGGCTCGATCCCAGGACCCTCGGATCATGACCTGAGCGGAAGGCAAATGCTTTTTTTAAATTATGTTATGTTAATCACCATACATTACATCATTTAGTTTCTGATGTAGTGTTCCATGATTGTTTGCGTATAACACCCAGTGCTCCATTCAGTACATGCCCTCTTTAATACCCATCACCAGGCTAACCCATCCCCCTACCCCCTTCCCCTCTAGAACCCTCAGTCTGTTTCTCAGAGTCCATAGACTCTCATGGTTCGTCTCCCCCTCCGATTCCCCCCCTTCATTTTTCCCTATTTTTTTTTTTAACATATAACGTATTGTTTCAGAGGTACAGGTCTATGATTCAACAGTCTTACACAATTCACAGCGCTCACCATAGCACATACCCTCCCCAATGTCTATCA